ATTGAAATAACCTCTGCTTCAGAATGGCTGCATTCAGAGTTTGCGATGTCAAAACGCTGGCAGTTTGCACTGGCCACGGCCGCTTGCGGTGGTTCGATAACGATAATTTGACCGTGACAGCGGCAATGGGCGGCCACGCGACCTACGCCAACTCTGAATGCAGCCAATCTCACGTTTTTGCGGCTAATACAGGTTATTTCAAGGGAAGTAATTTCAAGAATATCTCAAATTATCACCCAGAATAAAATTAATTCATATAAAAAAACATGCGTTTAAACACTTCCCCAAATTCCAATTATTCACAGAAGTACAGGTGAATAATTTGAAATTATCTGGGGATTGGGGAAAATTATCTGGGGAACGAAGATTCTGAGATTCTTTCTTCGTCTAAATTTGCAGAGAAACATGCGATCGTGAGCAATCTCATTGGCAAAAATGCGTAAATAATTCAAATTGAATTTCATTGTCACGCGATAGCTGGAGGATGGAAAGAAAATATTCTTGGTACCAGTCACTACATGACTGTAATTCTAGCATGTACACCGATAACACCCACGTTTTATGCCCATAATCAATCCGGCCGCAAAATACACGATTATGCACGTGACTCGATGAAATAATCTCATGCCCTTCTTTGAGGTTGGCTTATTTCTTGCATGCCTTCTGACGTTTCATTAACTCGTCCGACGACTGTAAATGCCTATCGTGGGAGGCTAATCTACTTTCCTATGCACCCATATCCTTCACTTCCTCATGGTTTAAAGTCTCATCATTTTCCAGTAACAACTTTAGTGCTGATGAGCCATCAAAATCCTGAAAACAACAGAAGTCTACGTAGGCGTGAAATTGAGCACATTTCGTGTACTCTCCCATCGATGCAATTCAGGTTACGCCTCATTTTGTTGAGTGCGAAATGCGTCTCCATGGGAGATTTGCATCGTTGTTCCCTTTTTAGGAAGTTACAGGATGTTGTTTGTTTTCTCTCCTGGTATTTACATGGTTAGATGTTTATAGTTCGAACTCACTGTACATTTTATTTCCATTTATGCTACAATGTCCTTTGCCCCTTTCTAATTTAAAACCTCCGTTTCTCTTGGCAACGGTTTTTTGTATTAATAGGTAGAAATAATGTCCGCGCTTATGTGATCGTTGCAGTACTTCTATCCATACGTTAAAACTTGCTCTGTAAAAGCGAATATTTTTTCGTAGGTTCGTCTCCGTTCACCAGGTCCAGTAAGTAAGAAATTTGGCCGGCGACTGCAGTATTGTTTGTTAAAAGTCATTCAGGAATTTATCAATGCAAGTTTACTCGGGAAAAGGTGTAGTGGCCACGTTTTTTAGCAGCAGTTGTTGAATTGCTCTTGTTTGTTGTCGCAAGGAAGCTACCTCCAGTGAATTAGAAAAACAAATAGTTCAAAGATAGGCTGTAGACCGGAATATCCCTTTGTCGTGCCATACTCAGTGCTTGAATTCTTAACCAGCTATAATCAGGGCTCAATGTAATTCGGTTCGTTACTTTCGTAAGTGTTTTGAGTTGAGACCACTAGACTAACATGTTGACTAAATGGGTCCAACTTACTGACATTACCAACCGCACAGCTATTTCCCGTGTATCCCCACTTTGTGCTACGCATTTGATAGAGTGTTCGAAATAGCTAATAGTTGCGGTTTTCGTGAGCGCCTTGTTCTCGTTCTGTGAATGTCGTATGATCACGTGGTAGTTTGGAAAACATTATTCACAGTTGCGTCCATTTTTTAGCTTTTGAGCTTTTCGAATCTCTTAAACAACGAAGAGATATTTAGTGTAGCAGAAGTACAATCAGTCACTGAAAACTGGTCATTATGAATATCTCCATTTCTTGCTCTCTTGGGAAGCCGTAGGTGAAGATTGGAGGCGAAAAACCAAACCAACTGGCCAAAAACCAGTTGAACGTTCTATGTATGTGCACTACATTTTTCATAAGTGGAGGTGATGTAAATTCTGATTGGGTTTTGACCATTTACGTTTGTAGTAAACGAAGTCAAATCGTACATGGTTGTTGTCCATATATAGTAAACCAGAACAACGTCCGCGCAACAATTTCCTGCCCCTGCAATTGCCTTCTATTCAATGTTCTCGATATTGCACATATTCGAAGAAAAAATGAGCAATCACGCCACTTCTAGGCGCTATCGAACTCAAAATCAAGGTTACGGGACCTAAATTACCATACACTCTTTCACAGGCGAACACCTGGCTATTAAAATTCGTACCTCTGAGAGTTCACTTCTCCGTCGTGCCACTTCTTCACTAAGTTGTGTTCCATTATCTTACGTTTCATTCGGCTGTCGTTTCTGCTTATCTTAAACACACCCGATTCACTATGCCGAGGCTGTTCATGTTTATCGCATGGACCCACTCGCAAATGCTTTATTCAGCTGTCGTGGTTCGCTCTTTTGTCATAACCCGCAGTTTCGTTGATCACAGCAGAACCTGCTATCAATCTGGTGCACCACTTTTTCTTTCAAATATATTAACTGCGAGCCATTGGTGAAGAAAGGCAAGAGTAATGCTGCAGTGGTGTGGAATTGTATGCATGACGAGCTAGAACGTTAGAACCTCTCCCATATTAACGGAATAGCTATCCGACTTCTTTCCAGTTCATGAGTTGAGACTGGGTAATATAAATCAGAGATTATGATACTCCCTCTGATTGATTATGTAAGCATCGATCGGAAAATTGCGGAATGGTGATCGATGGGTACGTTTTTAATGGCAGCTATTTATAGGAAACCACGGTTTTACGAAGGTACAGTCAGGAATCGCCATTGCTGTTTCAACGAATATCTGTTAGGAGTGTGAGGTCAGTATGTTGGAACTAGGTCACTGCGCACGCCAACCTCTCCGCTACGCTCACTGTAGCAGCCTCTCTGTTTTCGCGTTATATTAGTTTTCATAATAGTCTTTGGTCCCTACAAGTGCAATCGCAAAAACCAACATTCTTTCAGAAAATAAATCATTCTTTAGAGGTTGGAATACCGCCCCCCCCCCCCCCCCCCCCCCCCCCCCCCCCCCC